AGGTGAGATAAGATAAGATGACGCAATAGAAAATAAAGCAAAGCGGCGGCAGGCGCGCTTGAAAACTTTCCCTCGCGCTTCAATCACAGCCTCAAACTGGCCTGTCGTTTTCAGGACAGCTTCTATTTATAAAATCCCCCCGGTTACCGCCACGCAAGGACTCAAACTAAGTCAGCAGGACAAAAAAAAAAATGGATGAAAACATCAACTCTTCCAGCTGCTCCTCCTCCTCCGCAAACTAACTATAGGCAGACCCATGTGGCCCCGGCGCTCAAATCGGGAGTCGCGGCCCGTCTCTGCAACGCCATTGGCCGCCGGGATGGCCGGCCCGGCGCATTGGCTGTTGCTAAGCGAGTAGGCCTGCCGCACGGCGGAGGTGTCGGAGCCCTGAGGGGCAGGGAGGGGAGTGGGAGGGATGGCAAGGGCGTCGGTACAAAAGAAGGTGGGGGAGCAGGTTCAAGCCACGCCGCCATCCTCTCACCTTCCGCTCGGCGGCGCCGCCAGTGATTCTCATCGTGTGAGACGCGGCAGCCGGCGCTGACGGGAGTTGAATTCAACTTTTTGGTTTCGTGGCTAACTACGAAACAAGTACAGTTCAGTTGTATTTAACTTTTTTGTTCAAGATTTTTCAATATGCGGGTAAACAAAAGACACTAAATTCCACAACAACAAAAATTGTAATACAGTGGTAACAAAGTTTAAGAAGCTGAATGTGAAAATGTCAAAAATCGAAACTTTTTTTTCTGTAGCCAGTAGGTGGCACTACCGTAAAAAAAAAGTTTCATTAAACGTGAGAACGTGAACATAAAATGATGGGGGAGGGGGGTCAAGTTGCAGCGCTTTGTCAAGTGAAGGCCACGCCCACTTTACAAGTGAACTCAATTTTGCCGACTTGCTGTTAGATTTTGCTTTTTTAATTTTCCTTTTTATAATTTTTGCTTGCCTTTTGTCAATCTGTTATTGTACCGGGGGCTGCTTTGTTAAAACTTTCTAGGGGGCACTAGTGAGCCTTTTTATCTTTAAATTATTCCACAATAAACTATTCCTGATTTTTGCCAGTCCTGGTGTTTTTGTGCATATTTCATCCTGATTGCCGAAAACACTCCCGCGAGCAAATATGAACCCGATCTGATTATCCTGCAAGGAAGAAAAAATAAAAATATCAAAGATTTTTTTTCTTCCGTAGCCAGTAGGTGGCGCTCCGATGACGTTCAAAAAATAAGTTGGTCGATGTGTCGCGGCCTGGACTTTCATCAAATAAGTGACATTTGGAACAGGTAGGATGCCCATCCTCCTGACAGACGGATGGTAAGCAGCCACGCAAACCTCTGAGGATCTGGCATGAGGCAGCAACATGCTTCTCCTGTGAACGGGGAGGGGATGAGGCCAGGTGGGAATATCGATAACAAAGGGCGCACACACACACACACACACACACACACACACACAGTCGAGTCGGTGTTCTTGAAGCCGCGCTGCGCGCAACCAAGACATCCCCGATGATCCGTTGTCATCATAAAGAAGGATGCGCTTTAGTTCTATTGCCTTCCATGTCTTTTGTAAAGAATTCACATGCGTCCTCGATTTTGTTTGATCCCCATGAAGGAGCAGCGCGTTTATTTATTGTGTTTTATCAATATATTTTTTTTTCATCCTTTATGACTTTTATGTACATGCCGCATACATCGTGGCTCGCACTTCAAAAGGTTTTCGGCCCCTTTCAAGCCTTCCATGGCCAGGCCTGAAAAATGGATGACAGATTTCAGATCGTTACGATTTTTTGGTTTTGTTTTTTGTTTTTTTGCACCGACTCTCGATTGACGCATTTGCGGGAGAGACGGTCGACACGCTGGGAAAACTGGGCTGTCACGCCAATCGAAACAGAAAGCCCATTTGGGGGCCTTGACGCTTCCCGCCCCAAAAAACATCCCGTGCTGTTCCCCAAGCTAGCTAATTTAGCATGTCCTGGCATTTGCATGACTTCAACAACAAATCATTTGATTCCCAAAAAAATGAGACAGAATGAGTTTACACCCACGTCTGACATTAACATGACAACTTCATATCAGTTTGAATTTTTTTTTTTTTTAATGCCACAACATCCTGCACGAGTGCAATATGACCTGGTGGATAATTAATCGAGTGACGTTCCCCAGCGGGTGAAGTGAGCAACTTCCCCCCCCGACGACTTTGCAATTTTGGCAGTGTTTTGGTGTCACGATTCTCAGGTTGACGTGATGCTATTTCTCATTAACTCTGTGCCGCCTTTCTGTTCTGAATATGTTGTTGTATTGCCCATTAATCAAATATGAACCTTCAAAGACCTTCCATTCCCCCAAAATACAAACAACCAGCAGAAAAAAACAGCTGAAACGATGCATCACAATTTCAACTTGTGAAAACGTGACGGACACACGGAGAGTATTGTTACAGTGCCTGTCTACATTTATTCACCACCGTTTGTGTTCACATATCTACCGCTTGAAAGGTTTGCGATGCCACAACGGGGATGCTAGCCGTTAACCCGTCGATGGCGTTTTGTTTGTTAGCATTGAGCTAAATGGACCGCACAGTGGACCTTTGCATACGTTCACATTTTCGTGGATTTTTCTTTTTTCTTATATTGCTTGAATTTTTTGGGGTGTGTTTTTTTTCCGTCAGAAATGCATACTGAACATTTATTGGTGGAGGTTTTTTTGTCTTTAAAAGAACGTTATTTTTTTGCAATGCATTCCACTGGCCGTCAATTACAAGTGGACGTTTGGCTGCGCGCTCTTCGCGTCCGCTCTCTCGTTGTTTAAAATGCACAATGTGAAGCTGTTTTTGTTTCAACCGTTGAGTGGTCTTGAAACAACTTGAAGAATCATCTCTCAAGTGTCTGCTTGTTGCGCACCGCCGGGAAGCGCAGGTAGGGTAGCGTCCAACTGTGTTAGTGGAGCAGACAACAGCGCGGCTCCCGGGGCTCGTTTGGTCTCGTTACAAGGGCGAGCCTCATCAATAAAAAGTTGGACGGGGAAAATGTACGCAAGTTCCATACGGCCGTACGCATTCAAAAGCTTTTGATCTGTTTCACTCTCTATCTTTTTTTTTTAATCCTGAATCGCGGCTTGCAAAAAGACATGGGCGAGCGTGTTTAAAAATACCACACAGAGAATAATTTAACGCTTAGGGTGAATGAGCCGAGGCGGTGGGTCGGTCGGGAGGTGCCGTGAAAAACACACTGCGGCAGACGCATTCAAAGTGAGGGTCGGGGTTCAATCAATGTCTGCGTGCCGCATCTCTCACGTTGACACATTTGCACAACTTTGGAGACCAAACGTGAACTCTTCGGCTTCATGTCCTTCATGTAAAAGGATTCTTACAAATTCTGTCTTGCCAACATCAATAACAACATTCGACCCCTAATATTGTAATTTAATATGTGGTTACTTGTTCAAGGTTCTCTTCCTTCGTGTTTTTTTAACCAACACAAAAAAATAAACAAATCGAAACTACAATATCAGATTATTATCCATAAATGTTTAGGGTTGAATTAAAAGTTCAACTTTGACTAGCAGTCTTTGAAGCGCTCCCAGCGACAACTTCACAAAACTCGACCAAGCACAAAAGTCCGATTGCGACGATGTCACTTATAAAGACTTTTCATGTTTCATGAAACAACGCCAGCTGCATCTCGACATGCCAGAATTAAATCAGTCAAATATACAGATATTTAATCATAAATAAATAAAGGCAGCCAACTGGCTGAAGTGAAGCAGTTTTATTTTTTTTTTCTTTTTCAAAATGTCAGCCTTATTGATATGAAAATGGCATTCCACTCCACTGCCGTGTTGCTTTGGATTGGATTGTTACTTGATTTATCAGCATTAAGGAGTCGAGTTGCTCAGTATGACGCCTAACAATGGCTAATTATAACCACAACAATGAACATATTGATAATGCTGATATGGAGTTGTCGCTAAAACGGATTTATCCAACAAAAAAAATGATGGTGGTAACTACAAATTCCACCTTGACAAAGATAATAATGCTCAGTTTTCAAAAACAATAAGGCTTCTTGCTGTACAACCGTAGTGCAGCAGTGCAAGAGAGCTTTTTCATGATGGTAACCTGACAGGAAAGACTCAAAAGAGCTCCCAGCACAGTTGCGCGCACCTGCAAGCCACAATGTCAATCATAACCACATTCCGACACACATAACAACCCTTGGTTTCGACGAGGAAGCTCCGAAAATGCGGCTTTTAGCTCCAAAAAATGCGGCTTTTGCGACACGGATCTGGACGCTAATGCAGCAGTTCCGTTCCGATGTGCCTCATGACGTGACCCGGAGTGGCGATTTTTTACCCACAGAACAAACACGCTACATTAAAACATCAAACACCGCGCCGGGTAAACTTAACAGTAAGAAAAGAAGTATTATGCTGCGCTTTTAGGGGTCTGCTTTGGATACGAAATGGAGAAAAAAAAAAGTTTGCTTGCGGAGTTGTGCCGTCGCCCGACCGGAGCTGCCACATCACCCCGCCCACAATCGTTGACCACAACTTGCACTAAAAGAAGCAAAGTACACGCTTCAAATAGAAAAAAAAAAGTTCGATTGCAGTACTGTATTACAAATTTTCCACCACCTTCAGGAACGTGGCAATTTCTCCGCTTGATTCGCGTTCGTGGACACTTTGACAGCCCCCGATTCCCATTTGAAGAATTTAATTGATGCGAGAAAAGTTTGAATTTTAGGAATAACGGAAGTTAAAAAAAACAGTGTCGCGAACTGACTGGTTGTTCATTTTTTGTTAGTTTGATTTGGTCGCTTTAAGGCGACGTACAAGATCTTTCGGTCATCGAATCTCGCCAATTAGTGAAGTTATCCAAACGAAAGCTTTGAAAGTTGCTTTATATAACCGCTTCGTGGGGAAAAGGGGGCGATCGTGTGATGATGTTAGGCAGCTCGGCGGCGGCGTCGTCGTCGTTGTCGTGTTCCGAGTCATATCCGCCTCGCCTACCTCCTCATCGGGACACTTCCGTGGCGTTCTCCCCCGCAGGACCCGTCGTCCTCGGCGGCAGTCGGCCCGCTCTCCACGTCCTCCACGGTCACATCCGCCACCCCGGGGCGCAGCTTGACCGCTCGGTGTCCATCGCCCGAGCCCCTTGAGGCCAGCTGGGGCTCTCTGCCGGCGACGACGAAGCCCAAAGTGTGCAGGGTCCCGAGGCCGATGACCACGCTGAGGAGCAGGAACGACCGAGAAAAGCTCACGCTGCCAAAGCGAAGCCCCCTTTCCATTTGGAAGGCTGGCACATTAGTGAAGCAGGAGATTCACATGCCACTAGTCGGCCGTGTAAATCTTTACATGCTAAAAAAAAAAAATCTTTCGTGCTATGAGTGTCAATAAAAGTAATGTCGCGGTTTGCCCTCAAGTGCCCTTTATTCTTGGGATTAATGTAAACACAGCCACGCGAAGGGAACTCCGTGTTTTCGTCTTTATACTTGATGCAAGACTTGCCGTGGTTACGATTCAAAGCCCCGCCTTGTTTCTATACCGCGATTGGACGATGAAAAGCACGCGTTCTTAAGCCTACTTTTCATTGGTCGCTGAACTGTCAATCACTAAAGCGGTATACTTAGCACAAGGTAGTTGGACCGCCTACCCGTCACTCACGGAGAAGCCCGCGGAAACGGCCAGCTTCAATAACAGTGCATTTCATTGGCCGAGTCGCCTGCCGCTCGAGGCGACGCGTGCGCAGATTCACTGGTTTGTGATTGGATGGGGATAGTCATCGGCCTTCCAATCGGTGAGACGATCGTGGTAAACGTCGACGCGATTGGCTCAACGCGTTGCCCTGTTTACTAGAAGCGAAAACTCCATAGGATAGTCCAGTCGTCAATCATAAGCGGTTGTTGAGTCGCCCGACGCAAAAACACCAACGTGGCTCCTCCATTCGACGGTGGTTGCGAGATTCCCTCTTCCTGGTCACGGGTTGTGTTTCAACTGTTCAGTCGAAACTTTTTTTTTTTTTTTTTTTAAAGACGTCATGTCCATAATCGAACACTTGATTAAAAATGGGTCAAGAGTACAAGTACTGATTCAGCTTGTGCTTATATAAAGAAATACAGGACGCTGAAACGTACCACAGACCGCACTGGAATTAGTCCACTAATTAGTAATGTAATAATAAAATAAAAATAATCGACCTATATTTTACTTCAATACAAAAAAAACAATTCTTGCCACAACTAAATTTCTTTTAACAACACAAACAGCTGATACAGTACTGTATTTAACGTTTAATGTAGCGTTCTGGGAAGCTTCACAGCGCCACCATGTGGCACAGAGGCGAATGACGTTGACCTTTTTTTTATTCGTTTGACCACTCCCTAAAAATCAAAGTGTGTTCCGGATTGTTGTTCGAGATGCAGTCCAAACTCAAATGTTACATCATGATTAAGTTTATTTGAAAAGTTAGAAGCAGGCACATGCATGATTTTGGTCCTGTATTATTGGGGGGTGGGGGGGTGACGAGTACCGTTAAAAAAAAAAATCATCATTTACAGTCACATTGGAATGATTTTTCAAAAGCTGGTGCAAAACAGACTTTGGCGTAGCGGAACCTGTTACAATGGCACTGAAAACAACACTGAGAAAAGGCAAGGGGGGAAAAACAGTGCGTTTTTTTTTTCGCGTGAGAAGTGGAGACACAGGAAGCGCTCTGTGTGCATACATAGTTTCCATATTATGACATCTCAGTGTTTTTATTTGACTTCCTTCTAAATACAACAACAGCTACTATGTCAAGGCACATCGGGGCATATTCTCCTGTGTGCTTAAGATGCACAGTTGGCCACTTTTTGGGCTGACATTCAAAAGCCAAAGACTGTACTGTTGACAATCGCCCGCAAAGTTTTAGGAACAGTGTTGCTTTAATATTACACTTTAATTTCATCCCACTTGAAACAGGAAGATTCGCACAGCAATGACAGGACGCCATCTTTTAGTCGCTGTCTCCACGAAGAGAGATCGAGGAGCGCCAAAATATTTCTACCTCCTCCCGCCACGCTGCTTTGTCGATTTGAGATGATGATGCAATGCGGCACGGGTCAGTCTTTTTTTTATTTTTTTATGCATGCGTCTCAACGTCGTGCACATGCGTGCCACGTCAGGCATGCGTTGTTTTCACACATGTAGACGAATTTGTTTTTGTAATGGTCAAAACGTTCTTCTTGTCATCATGATTGTGGTAAGCCTTAAGGCACCCCCAAAAAAACTTGACTGGAATTCCCCCAGAGTTAAAAGACGTGTCAGTTGTGCACATCAGACAGTTGCCTTGTAAAATCGGGATGGTAAAACGGTGTGCCAGAAGGAAGTGGCAAGATGAGCCCCAGCAGCGGCCGTCAGTGGACGGACGCCTCGCGTACCTGCACGCGCCCGTCCTCCATGCCGAAGTAGGCGCGCTCCGCCATGCCCACAAACAGCCCCGTCTCCACCACCCCTGAGGACCACACCGGAGCGTACGATTAAGTCAATGGCATGACGTGGTTGCACAAGTGCGCACACCCTCTTACTACCAATCCCGCGGATTCAAAAATGGGAGTCAGCGCACACCCGCCACCATTTAAAAGGCCTCCGATGAACTGCAACTCGAGTCCAGATGTCCTAGCGGCCTTTTTCCTGACATTCAGTGGAGCTTACCCGGAATCATCTTGATGGCTTGGTGGACGTCCTTCCAGCTGTGAACGCGCTCAAACTTCCAGTCCAGGATGAAGTTGCTGTTATCCGTCACCACGGGACCCTGACGCAGCCACAAACCAGACATAAATAGATAACGGCATCCGTGTTGGCACAGTCTCCATCTTGCTCCCGCCCTCCTCCTCTATTTGCGTAACTGCTCACCCCTCCCCTCTGAGGCGGCCCGTTTACTCAATTGTGCAAGTGGCCAATCATATTGTGTCTTGCTGAGCTGCCCCCCTCCAAAAAAGAAAGGAAAAGCTCGTCATCGGCAGTTTATCGTCTGCCTAACTGCTGCTGATACTCGAACGAAAGAAAGTGCTTTGGGTCACAAGAGACCATTTTTCTTTTCTTTTGAATACTTACAGCTTTACTGACACCCATCCGCAAGTTGACCTCCCCTCCGAAAAGCTGGACGATCTTCCTGGAGACGGGCACGTGGGCCATGGGGACTACTTCGATGGGAACGCCCTTCTTCCATTGCTCGCCCATCACTTTGGAGTCCTTCCTGACAGAAGAGATTTGGAAAACGCCGGGGGAGCTCAATCATCTCGCTTCTTTCTGGAAATACGAATGGGATCTTTGAATCCAAACCTGTAGTCCGCGATGACGACAAAATGGCGGGCACAGCCGGCGACGATCTTCTCCTGAGTCAGGCAGCCGCTGACAAACAAAAAAGTGTCAGCGAAGATCATCAACTAAAAAGAGCAACAGGGCACGTGGGAAAGCGGAGCTGCGATGCGGGACTCACCCTCCGCCTTTGATCAGAGTCAGATCTGCATCCACCTCGTCCGCCCCGTCGATGGCAACGTCCAGCTGACCGAAATACGGGAGAAACCATTTACGCCACCTTGTGGTAAAAAACGTGACTGGTGGCTCAAGCGCAAACTTGCTTTGAGGTTTATGGCGTTTCAGAAATGCTGGACAACGTGCTCGGCTGTTTAAGTTTTTTTTTTAGAGACACCTTGTTCTGCTGCTTATATCGTGTAAATTTGTTTTGTTCTCAAAAGTTGAAAAAAAAATAATGCGAACTCATTTCGCAGTTCATGTTAAAAGCATTTTAATCACTCGCTCTCCTGCAATTTTTCTTAAATGGATAAAACTGTTAGCTTCTAGTGTTCTATTGTTCAATGCTAACATAAGGTTTGTCAAAAGTCTTCTGTCAAAAGTTTTCTAAATGTTTGCAGCCATTTTCTGCTGTTAAGCAGGCTTTAAAGATGTAAAGCCATTCTGCTGTTGTGAAAGTTTTAGAACGGTTGTAGACTTGGTCTCCCGCTAAGAAATATGAGAAACAATAATGTATAAAAAAATTATACAGCTATGAATCAAGTTTTGAAAAAAAAATGTCTTGTAAACTTGGGCTGGGGTTTCCAAAGGGGAGTCAATAAAATACCTCAGGGTGCCGGTCCAGATCCGACAGCATCAGTCCATGCTTCAGAATCAGCTGGCGGGCCTGAGGGAGGACAAACACCGAAACTTTATTTCTTTATTTGGGGAATATTAAAAAAAATGTACGGCATTATGATAGCACCGGACAAAAGCCAAACGAACCTGGAAGGAGGTGGGCACACAGATGATGTTCAGCTTCTCCTGACGCACTCTCTCCGCTAGTCCCAAAATAAATAGATTCATTCATAATAATAATAATCACAATCATTCTGATCAAGGAGTCGCCTTTTGGGGGGTCTCAACATGCCAGACACATGCCCCTTAACACACTAAATCAGATATTGAGCGTGTTCTCTTGTGCAAGACGCACAAAAAAAGTTTCAAGGACCCAAGTCCAGAATTGACCGTGAAGTCGGCCATTTTGGTTTAAAAGCCCCATTTTGTGTGACTCCAGGGCTTCAGCGAAGTCCTCCTGGGGAATTGGCCCAACTAGAACTCTGGAGAGACGGACGACTTTATAATGTGAAACTTTTTTTGCCCATGCCATTTAATGCAAGTGGAGCTTGGCATCAAATCCTCAATTGGAGAATCGAAGGCCCCTGGAAAGTTAAAAATCAAAATGCCAATTACACCACTCAACACAATATTAGGTGGACATGTCTGCCATGACAGGACGCACGAAAAAAAAAAAAAAAGCATCGAGAACCAATGATCATCCATTTTGGGTGAAATTGCTTCTTTCAAATGTAATGTTCATTATTTTTAGTATCATGACGATTGACTCACCGAGTCTGTCCACTGCATAGACGATGGTCGAACCACTGCCGATTCCAACCACCTGATTGTTCTGTTGGACAGCAAAGAAAAATCGAAATAAATGGCATTGATTACACAAGTGTGGACTTCAGAAATGTTTTCTTCTGTGGTGTTCTTTTGGCGGTGAGCCAGTGTTGTGTTTGTGACAAACAGACCTTTTGGAATTGCAGCCCAAATGTGTTTTGAAAATTATTGAAAGAGGGGCTGTGGAGACGTCTTGCATGTGTCTCAGATGGATCGTGTGGCAGATTACATTGGCATGGCAACTAAAAACAGTCTGAAATCTGATTGGACAAATTCCTTGTGTGTTCGACATGCTTGGACGATAAAAATTATTCTGATTCTGAAAACATTTTTTTTGTCTTACTGGCTAACTTTGCGTCGCCAGAACGTGGAGCTAGTAAGAGCTGCGGCTATTTCAAATCATTCACCCGTGGACAATGATCAGAATGTAAAAAAAAAAAAAAGTACAAATGCATACCTGTACGTGGTTGTCCACCGCCGTGTAGGCGGCTTGTTTCTTCGCCTCCTCCGCCATGTTAACAACACACGTGCTTGTCTCAGGACCGGTGGCGTGGACAAACAGACGACGCGGGGACCCAGAAGTCAACAGGAGGAGGGAGGCAGGCGGGAATTTAACAAAGGCGACCCAACCCCGAAAGTTCATGGGCCCGGCCCACAAACACGCAGTCGCCCTCCAAATGTGCGCTTCCCGCGTTTCCGCCTTTGTGGTCCGGTGACGTGCTTCCTTCCGGTCGCTGGCTAACGCCAAGCTAGCTACACAGACATTTGGCATGATGCCAAGTCAGCGTAAATGACGTTGAACTGTCTGTTTGGCAACACATTTCCGGTGCAAAGTTTGGGCTGCGCACCAGTTTCCGGTCTCTTCGCTTGTTTCATTTACTTGGACGCCATCTGGAGGAAAAAAATGAACTGATTCTTTAACACCGGGGTTAAACCGGCCTCCACTGAAATGATGAAGTTAAACAGCCCGCCATTTTTTTTGTCGTTTTTTTTTTTGTTGTTTAACGGGAGTTGGTTCGCTAACGTGAAAAATAATCCTGGGCGAAACCTTTTTTTTTATCATTTCGTCGCTGTGTGTATTTTAAGTTGTCTCCGCCCCCAAAAAAAGAACAGGACTACTGTATTGTGCCGTGGGTGCAACGATGGGTCTTCCACGAATGACGTAACGCCGGTGCGTTGTATGCATTAGGGGGCTACCACGAGTGATCCTTTGTAGTTGTATTGCTCATTAATTGTGGCTTACATGTTACTGTATTGTTATACGTTGTTATGTCTGCCCAAAAAGCGGAGAAAACGGGCTGCTGTTAAGAGAAAGACATCAAGCAGAATTGCATAGCTGATATTAATTTAAATGAATACGATCTATACAGAGCAAACTCAATTCCGTCTACTCATCTTTCAGTTTGTAGCCTAGTTTATCCGACAGATCTCTCTGGAATCTGTATTTGTCAGACTTAATAGAACTGCGCTAAATTACTATTACACTAGTAATAACGAGTTGTATCACTAAATGAAAATCATAGTATATTAAATGTATCAAAAGTTTCGGTCCGCTCCAAACCAGGACCTGGCCGATGAAGTCGCACAGCTGAATGCGCATGCGCAGATGCTCTACCTGGAGTCGACTCACCTGCTTGCTCGGCAATTAAAAAAAACACACAAATGGTGACTATTCTCGTTTTCACCTGCACTTATGATACATTATTCATACTTTAATATGAAGTCCAGCAAAGCAGCGAATGTTTCTCAAACGATTCGTTTTCAAGCTAGTGAGGTGAACGTAATGGCCTGAGGATGGCGCAAGAGGACAGTTTGAAGTGTTGAGCAGTGAGCACAACTCGAGGGTCCTCAATAAGTCGTCGTCAAAGTTATTAGAGTTGAGCTTGTTGTCCATGTTGGGCATTTTGTCATCAAATGATTACTTTTAGTAATTAACGATAACGTCAATAAGCACTATTTCAGCAGAGAGTGCAGTGATTAATAGGGGGCAAGGATTCTATTGAGCGTAGATGCCACTAACTGGGTTGAGGTGTTAATTTTTTCCCCTGGGAGAGGATCAATTAGGGCAAGGCCTCGATCAGAGCCGAGGCCATGACTTGAGGTGAGGTGTTTATTTGTCCAAGTGGCGGATTCATTGAGGCACACATATATTAAGTGGAAGTGACTCATTTGTTTCAGGTATATATTGATTAATTGGAACACGGCCTCTCCGTGCACGAGACATTTATTTGTGCAAGGGTATGAAGATTCATTTGGGCAGGGCTCCACTCAGTGGGTCGGCAATTATTAGGACACAGCATCTATTAGAGTAGAGGCTGCAATTTGTGGCTAAGTGTTTATTTGTTTAAGTAGATGACGATGAAGTGGGGCATGGCCTCGATTAAAGCAGAGGCCACTGTTTTGAGTTGAAGTGTTGATTTGCTCCAGTGGAGTCGAGGCATGTTTTATAGACTGCATTGAGGGTGGAGTTTACTCGTGGACAGTTAATTGGAGCACGGCCTCTTAGAACACAGGCAACTTTATTTGCTCAAGTGGATGGATATTGATTGGGACCTGGGGAAGGCGATTAGTTGAGGTGAAGTGATGCTGAATAGTTGGGGTGTGGCGTTGCAGAGGGGATGCAACCATTTTCGGCAAGGTGTTGATTTGTTCAAGAAAACGTGGATTCATTGATGCAAGGTGTCTATTCGAACAGAGGTCTCTCGTATCTGAAGTGAGAGGTTTATCTGTTGAGGAAGGGGGGCAATTAGCTCGGGCGCAGCCTCGATGTCAGTGGAGGCCACTATTTCACGTGAGGTGCTTATTTGGTCTGGTGAATGATTCCTCTGTTGAAGCAGAAGCCAATATTTTAGGTGGGATGTACATGCATGACAGTTAAGTGGGGCACGACAGACCTTTAATTAAAGCAGAAGCTACTATTTAAGGTGAGGTATTTATTTGTGGATGGCTATTAATTGGAGCACAGAGTCGAAGAGAGCGAAGGCCACTCGCATGCGAGGTGAGGCATCGGCAGCTTAGCATGGCGTTAGCCATTTGCGAGGCAACAAAGAAAAATATGCCCCCAACATGACTACTTTTTATTTGGCAAACAGCTTGAGATAGTCTCTTTTTTCAGTGTAAGTATATATATATATTTATATACTATGTAATAAAACTTAACACATTCTCTTAAGATATTTTTTACACCATATTCCAGCTTACAAATATAGCTGATCTTTTCCCACAAAAAAAAAAGACTCCATGACACCCTCTATATATATATATATATATATATATATATATATATATATATATATCTTACATTCATGGTTAGAAAAGTAGGCTACTGTATATGATGTAAGAAAAGAAAAAAAAAAGGTTTCAAGAATGTCGGGAAAAACAACGGTTGGGCACAGAGAAAACAACGAACACCCAAGAAAACACTTTCGAGTGGAAGTCAAGAATGCAAAAGACTTTTGGGATGATGAAAAGTTTGTACGAGTACATGTGACTCCTGGTTTTCCTCTTTTTCCTGCGAGGATCATTCAGAGGATTATGCAAATGTCTCCACGTCGGCTTACGCCTTTCCCCCGCGTGGTCCGACGGAACCGACTGCACGAGTGGAGCTTTTTTTTTTTTTCTTCGTCTTCAAAAATAGAGCTCACTGAGCTTTTTTTTTTTTTTTTATACACAGTATTGCTGAATCGTCACGTGTTGCATTCGAGGACCGTCTGTGAATTGGCAACGGGTTGAGGGAAAAATTAAGCTGCGTACAAAAATCTGAAACTCTAGCTCGCAAACAACATGTCTAATCCAAAATTGAGGGCTATTACGTGACGTTACCTTGCAGGGATGCATTCAAATGCTTTTAATGTCACTTTCCAGAACAACAGTGGGCTCGGGATGGTGCCGATGTTTTCCTACATGTAAACATATGAAGCCAAAAGCGGCAGACAAACATTCCCAACACAAGAAATGAGAAAGTGATGCAAAGCGCGCAACGTAGGCATTTCCTTCGAAGAAATTATAAGATAAATAAATATTCAAAGCTATTTTTTTTCAATGTAAGAATATCTTGAGAATTGTCATTTTGGTTTGTGCTGCCATTCTAAATAATCTGACAATTTATATATCGTCTATATTTGTTTTGATTTCCATTCCCCATGAAACGTCCAGTGAAGATTTGGCTCAGGGACAGGACAGGAAGGGCTAAGAGTCCAATTAGGGTTGTCATTACAGCTTTGGGATGAGGTTGGCTTTCGGAATTTTGGGGCCGCGGGACCAGGATAAGATTTGGGACAGGACACAACAGGGAGAGTTGGGGACAAGAAGTGTTTGGGGTAGTAGTACTGGAAGGGTTGCTGCCGGGGGTTAGGCTAAGCAAAAAGGGACAGGACAGTGGTATGGATTCTGGTTAATCATAGGACAGAAATGGGAAACGTTCTGGATAGGGCTTTGAGACAGGTTAGGGGTCGGACCGGAAGAATTGTGGCAGTGGCATAGCGGGGCTTTAGGGGGAGTGTTGTGTGTAAGGGACAGGACAGGTTATTGGGGAAACAGGACAGGGAGGAGGAGGGGTTAGCGGTTAGGCTCATGGTTCAGGACAGGAGAAGATGGGGTCGCAAACTCCGGCCCTCGACGGCCGCTTTCCTGCATGTTTTAGAGCACAGGTGTCAAACTCAAGGCCCGGGGGCCAAACCTGGCCCGCCACATCGATTTATGTGGCCCGTTAAAGCCAAATACCTTCCATGACGCTTCCTAAAATCTGTCAATTTCTCATATGTCATAAATAACAGAGACATTGGAAGCACTTTTTGGTTACCAAAGCCCTCATGACAGTAACTTAAATAGTTGGGGAGGAAAAAAAAGATTCTTGACTTCTTTATGTGGTTTCACAGTCATGGCGGCCCTCCAAGGGAAACAGTAACTACAATGTGGGCCGTGACAAAGAAAGAGTTTGACACCCCTGTTTTAGAGGTTTCCCCCTGCAACACACTTGATTCAAATGATCGGGATCGGGATCAGGCCCCATGCAGAACTTGCTGATCATTTGAATCAGCTACGTTGGAGAAGAGAGACAACGAAAACAGGCTGGACCCAGAACCCGACTTTGAGACCGCTGGGTCAGGGGATAGAGACAGGACGGGAGGGCTTAGGATTGTGGTTAACGGTGGGCCAGGAAGACATTTTCTACCAGTTTTGTTTTGGGGTTTTTTTTTTAAATCAAACGAATGTGGCCGAAGACAGCTGGAATAAGCTACGGCACGCCTGCGACCCTCCTGAGGATGAAGCGGTTCAGAAAATGCTGTAAAATGTCATCATAAGTTTTCATGTCAACATGCTGGCCTGTCGCGAGAGTCTCGTCATGAGGAGTATTGCCGAATGTTACTGCAGCTTTTGAGGAAGGTGGGACCGTCTTTGTACTATTAGGGACAAAGGTGTGAGCATGGCAAGGAAGTCATAATGGCCAGACAAGCCCCGCCTCCTCCATGGTACATGAATGGGAATGCCTTAAAGAGGAGAAAGAAACCCCCAAAAACGCCACGCTACCTTTTGGATCTAGTCTTCAACTACTCACCAACACAGTGTTAAGTACACGTCACGTGGACCAAACACCACCAGCACCAGCACGGTGGAAAAACACGCAGGTGTGGGGAAAAAAGGGGGTTGTGCCGTTGCGCCGTTGACCACTTACACGGCATTAGTGAGTAGTTCCGAGTACTGGAGGCAAACACAAAGACGACAACTGCAGTAAAATGGAGGAGTTCTGGAATTGCTCCTCGGGCGACTTTGCTGCCCTGTTGGAATGTTCCCACTTTGGCAACAGTCGCTGCTGGACTTCCTTTTTCGCCTTTGCACAGATTGGCGTTAAAAAAAAACAACCAAAAAACCAAAAATCAAAGATCACTTCTTCCTTGCCCTTTTGCGGCAGGTCTTTTGGGTTGCATCTGGCGCCGTTTCCGCCCTCTGCAGCTACATATGTTGGGCATCCATGATGTCCAAGTATTTGGCCTCAATGATGTGAGGAAGCACCCTGTTCCTACACACACACACACACACACACACACACACACACACACACACACACACACACACACACACACACACACACAAGAAGAAACATGGATGTGACATAACCTATTCAAAAGAAAATAGGGCCGCATACATTTCTGTGAGGGACGCCAATTTTGTAATAATTTAAAAAATAAATAAACACGCAATGTTGATGTCTTTCTACTTAGTTTGAAAGGAGCATTTAAAAAAAAAAAGAAATTTGGCTGTTTTTTTGACGTCACTGATTTTTTTTTTTAAATTCATTTGAAATGTTTTACTTGTCTTTCATGATGAATTTCTGAACATAGTTGTTTTGTTTACATACTTTTTCATGACTTTTTAAAAAACTTTTTTTGCATTTGTTGATAACGTACAGGTGTACCTCATGAAAGTGGCGAGTGTGAGAGTTTGTGTGCGCGCAACTTTGAAGTGCAAATGTTCATGTCTTATTGAAAGCAAGGGCACTGGAGAGACTCCTCTCTGTGCATGTACAATGACGCGTAGCGTACTGTATGGATAATCATACATAATGCAGAGCAAACATCTGCTCGCTTTCATGTGGTCTCCACGTGAGGAGCCGAAACAAAATGGCAACAAAGTTTCCCAGAAACTAAACAACCAAAGGTCGCGTGACCAAAGCAATTGGAAAAACGGAGCTCGACTTTTGTATTTCTTTGACGTGCCAAAGTGTGAGTGCGCGTCAAAAAGGTGGGATGAGGTTTTGCGGCGGTGCGAGGCCGTCACCTGATGGGGATGAGCAGGATCATGACCAAGGGGAAGATCATCTTCATGTAGGGGACGGGGTACATGCCAAACGTGCACAGCACCAGCAGCTGCATCATCTGCAGGAAGGTGAAGTAGTGGATCTTCCTCTGGGGCACTTTGCGGATGTAGTGGGTGGGCGGGTACGACGTCTGCGGCAAAGGAGGGGGGGGGGGAAGAGCGTCGGGAACCAGCCGGAAAACTCAATTCCCTATGCTTGTCTTCCTCCAGCTGTCGTGAAAGGAACAACTGGAGGAAACGACGTTTTGAATCAACACGAAAACCAAAGTTCAGGACCAGGACTTTTACACTTCGCCATTGTTTTCCCACTGTTCTGCGTGAAAGGCAGCGACGCAAAACCGACGGAGGAAGGCAGCCCGCAAACGTCGTGGCTTCGACCGTCCCCGAGGTTTGACGGCCGCCGCGCGGAAGGCAGCAGCGTAAAGCCGATATAGAAGTCTGAAGTCCTTTTTCACGCGGCCCGTCCAAACCGTTTTTCTCAAGCTGCCGAACGGTGTGAAAGGGTCTGACAGAACGGGGGCGGATAAAGGCAACCTGCGGCTCAACTTTCACGCTGCTAAATTATTTTTTTCCCCCCCCACGTGTCACAAAGGGTCCAAGACAAAGGCAAGCCAGGCAAATTTCCTTGCTGGAGAGGCTAAACGGCAGCTCCAAAGCAGTGTGGGGAAAAAAGGGGGTCAAACTGTGCTCTCCTCACCTGCTCCTTGAGCAGCAGGGCCATGCGGTCGCACATCTGGTTGCCGTCGATGGAGGTGAGCGCCATGTAGAGGAAGAGGCCGTAGAGGACCGGCTTGGGGATCCACTGCAGCGGCAGCGGCAGCAGGAAGACCGACGCGCCGATGAAAACGTTGGCGGCCAGCGACGTCACGCGCGTCTCCTTCACCTGCACGATACTGAACGCAAATGCAATCACGCACTGGCCCGGGTTTGAGGAAACTGGCCGAAGAGCAAAAATTCGGTGACAAAATCAAACCAAAATAATTTTTTTTTTGTTTTTAATGAAAAGATCTTGCTGTTGCTGGTCTCATTCCCCCCCCCCCCCTGCATCCTGTTTGATTCTATTGCTGTTGGGTTGACAGGACCATGAGCTGGCAGTTATCGAACCACCGTTTGTGAACAAAGGACTTTGAAAATTCAAGTGCTCCGAAAAGCGGAGCCTTCATCTGTTCATCATTGTTTTCATGATTTGTTTTTTCAAACAACTTATTTTGTTTTGGCTTCTAGTGAGCTGCGTGGCCCCCGTTATGGGCCAACCCAACACTGCCAAAATAAGCTTCAATCCACGTGGCTCTCACCTCCAAAGACTGAAAAATATTTTTCTATCTCGCTCACTTGGCGGAACGTTCACCTTGAAAAAAAGAAAAAAAAAAAAAGAAAAATCAAATCTTCACCGAGAAGCTCGTTCTTCTTCAGAATGACTAATTAGCCGGCCTGTTTTTTTCGCCTACTGCCGAGATTGCGGCGACGACGAGGCTTTTTCCGACGAGCGGGGACCCTCGGGCGGTGGCGTTCTTCCACTCACGTCTCGTAGAGGTGTCCTCCCTCCACGCGCTGTTCCACGAAGGCAAGCTGGCGCACGTGCAGCGTGGAGTGCGGGAAGGCGGCGTGCATCCAGGGCAGCCCCAGAACCGACATCAGGATGTTGATCAGGCCTGACAGCATCAGGTCCCAGTGGTACGCCGTGCCCTTCAGCAGCCTAGGCGCCAACAACAACAACAACATCAACAACAAACGCACTCAGATGGCATCTGAAAGCTTGCCCGAACAACTTTTTTTTTTTTTTTTTTTTTTTGCAACATGTTAGCTGCTGCTACTAAAACGGTTTCAATCTGTTGTGTTAAGCAGCGTAGCCTCAAAAGGTTCTCGGACCTCGCAAAAGTCCGAAAGACCTTAATTTTGACCCGCCAGCCGCCGTACGCGAGAGCACCACTGACCTTGGAACGTATCGAATCAATGTGTACGCTAGTCTGTACACTTGACAGACTTCTCCCCCGTAAAAGAAAGGTCGGCGAAGCGTCGGCTCACGTGTGGCGTCGCATTCATCAATGTCGGCAGCAGGAAGCGGAGCGCGACGTCGCCTGACTTTTAGCCGAGCTTTTACGGCGCGGCATGAACAATTTTGTCCCCTCCGGTCGGCAAACTCACTCGCTGCGGCCATGCCTGCTTGAAATTTTTACTTTTGAAATTTTTTTTGGTGGGTCATGTAGGATATCACATAAAACTTGGTAGAGCTTCACGGGCTGGATTAAAAAAAAAAAAACAAGAGTTTCTAATGGGGCAGTTTGGACAAGAATGCAGGAAAATATGATAAAATGCAAAAATGGCCACTTAAAATCAAAATGCTCAGATTTCGTTTTTTTTTTCTTCCAAACATGGCTCCTCCTCGAGACGTTTTTGTCCATTTACCAACGACAGGCATGTCTACTCAATTACACGTTGCTAGGTCAAACCAGGTGTAATGCTCAAAGGGTGCCACGGCATTTTTTGTTGAAATATTTATGACACACATGACAAATTTCATCCTACAAAGTCAAAGCGGCTTGAAATATCCGAGAGGTGCTTCTTGGCCTGTTTTGAGAAAAATCTGTTCAGTTTTGTGTTTTTTGGGGGTGTAACTTTTTTTGTTTGTTTTTATATCGACATTTTAGTGCATCTTTTCACGATAAACATGACTACCAAAACTTGGTGAGGCAAACTGGCTTTGAGGGCTATTTTAGTTCGTTTTTAAAAATTTTTTTGGTTGGGGTTGCAAAATTCTGAAAGGTGCCAACGAAGCAAAGTGCCTGTTTCATACTAAAATGGCAGATTCTTTGTCTTTGTACGAATTGCTTGTTGAGACTGTTTTGTGGGTCTTTGCGGGATGATTAAAAATGTCCAAAATGAGCCTAAAATGGCTTCTTGAAAGCAAAACGGCTGACAGCCTGTGCTTTGGCGATTAGCAAATTGAAATGGATTCCCGTTGACTACTTTTCATTTACGAACCAATTTGGGAGTTTTGAAGGCTCTCCGATGGGATTTATTGTTGTGCGCCCGCTGACTTTATGATTCCCTGGCGGCATCGCAATCGGGCACCCGTGCTCACATTGTCGAGAGGCATCAAATTAAGCGACGAACGGGAACAGATAAGGGAGCGCCGCTCTTATCATGACGGACGGACGGACGGGCGTGTGGGGCGGGCGGGCAGACGGCGCAGCGGAAAAGGTTAGAATCCCTGTTTTGGCCGCGGGGGCTTCTTGACTCAGATGTCAACTTTTGTGGCTCACTTGTCGCCGCAAATCCCCCAAAGGTTGTCCGTGGCTTTTGAAGCAGGCAAAGGCAACCCCGTTACAAGTATTATTATTCAATAAAAATCCAGAGAAATATGGATGCGGCAACCGAAGCGGAAATTTGGGTTGAATTTAGTGCCGTTAGCCGATTCGGTTGGGCAGGTTTCTAATTCTTGTTTTTGGATGACTCGGATTGTCTGCGAATGGCGTGAGCATCAGGTGACTTCTTTGAGGCTTTTATTTTGGCCATTTGTCTACTTCCTGTTTTGGTTGCAATTCCGCCATCTTCCGACCCAGCATGCGGAGCAAGTTTTTGCAAGCGAAGGGGATTTTTGTCTTCTCCCACCTGTTCTCGGGCGCATTGGTGAGCGACACGACGATGTTCTGGTCGATGAAGATGAGCAGAGCCAGCAGGAAGCCGAGGCCCATGGCGCTCAGCACGTTCAAGGCCGTCAGACGCTCCAACGGCGCCACGCTGAACGTCGGCTTGTTGTGGACTTTAAACACCGGAACTGTTCACGCCAACAAAAACCACAAAGAAAAGCACTTGTCACTTTTTTTTCCAGATCACAGGTCCTATTTTTACCAAAGACTTTTTTTGGGACGCAAAGTCATTAATTTCCACAAAATTATGGATTTTTCCAAAATACATTTTTTTGTCCTCAAAACATTTTTCAAAATAAAAAAAAAATAAATGTTTTTAGATAAATCAGATGTTCATGTTTGTGAAAAAAAACAAACATTTTGCTTATTCAATGCTTTCCTGATAAAACATCCTATTCAGTTGAAAAGGCTTTTTTGTTACTACATTTTTCAGATAAAGGGTAATGTTTTGGCCATGAAAATCTCTCAGTGATCTTTTGATAATTGTAATTATTCAAGATTTTATTATTATTTTTTTTTATATTAAAAAATAAATTTAGAGCTTTAGAAAAAAATATATATTTTTTTAAACACAAAAAATAACATTTCAAGTTTGGGTAAAAAATTGATTTTTTTTTTTCTTTTCAACAATAAATATTTGCACGGTAAGATGTTTAACACAAATGGTAATTATATTTTTAACTTTTATTTTTTTATTTTAGTTTTTTTCTGAAGCAATGTTTACTCAAGGGACCATAACATTTTATTTGATACTTGGCCCCAAAAAGGCTTTTATAGTCGCTGACGAAAGACCTTGAGGTGGGCCAGTAAAAAATAAAAAACATGTTTATCATGTGTGTTTTTTTCTTTTTCTTTTTCCACAAAGTCGACTGGAAGTAGGCGTTTGTAGGACAGCGAGGCCTTGAGGTGTTTCCCGAAGGACGCGCAGCAGCAGACGCTCACGCTTCACGTCCATGAAATAAACATAACAAACATTGCCAAAACAAACATGAATAATCAGGGAGGCTGCGGATATCGGCGTTCAATTCCCTCGGCCTGCCGTGCCCCACTTCACGCGCCCGTGCACCTCCTCACTTTGTTCTCCGTTAAACGTTTGTTTGCGTGCACCTGAACGTGTCAAAACACAACAGGGGCACCAAATCAATGTGTCTGTGTGTGTCTGTGTGTGTCTGTGTGTGTGTGTGCAACAAAAAACTTCCCATAAGGAAGTTTTACGTTGCAAAAATAATTGTCAATTTCTGGGGATAAAATTTGCTATTTAAGAAAGATAAATTGTCATCTAAAAGGCCAAAATTTCCACGATAAAAAGGTAATTTTCCAACTTTTAGATCAGATTTTCTTTGGAGAAATTAGTTGGACGATTTTTTTGGGGAGGGGCGGAGGGCGGGGAAAGCACATTCTCTGTCAATGGCACAAAACAAGTCAACATTTAAATTATTTTAAGCTGAAATTTAAAATCAAGGCATATTTTCTCAAGGGAAAAAAAAAAGGATGCAATTTTTGTCTGGAGAGAAAAAAAACCCGGCAATTTTCCGGCCAACCCGTCAGGGAAGTTTTTTGTGCGATGAGACAAGAAAGCAGGAAAAGCGGGACTGACGCTCGATGTCGCTAAACAGGTATGATCCGATGAAGGAGAAGAGAAGAACCGAGATGGGCAGCGCGCAGTCGGACAACACCTCCCTCACTTTGGCGTGCAGGAACGGACTGCCAACACACAGAAATGCACACATAAAGACACTGTATCCATCAGGCCCGACGAGTCGGGCGTCAGCAGGCGCATCGAGTACCTCCTCTTGAACTGGTAGAGTGTGTAACCTATCCACAGCGTTCCCATCATGAGCAGCAGGCAGAGGACGGGCCGCTCGCGTGTGCAGTCGATCAGCGAGTCGGGCAGGGCCTGCAGCACCGAGGCCACGCCCAATTCGCTCCCGTTGACCCCCGCCCCGGCGACGCGGTGAGACGCGTCCGACGCACTGGCGTTGCCCAGCGTGGGCGGGTGGTAGTACCTTTGGAAGACTGGAAGGACAACGGATTTGAGCTTTAATTGTTCCGATTATGAATAATGTCCTTTCATATTGGCGTCCTAAGGTCTCCAATCCATCAACAAAATGGATGTTGCTCTGTCGGGACTGATTAATGAAAAGTTGGTGCTCGTTCATCAATGTTCCAAATGTATCAAAATGCGGAATGCATTCGCGTTAGCGGCGTCGGAGGTTAATGTTATGCTAACGAGAGACCAGCTAGCGAGGCTTCTATTTGAGGAAATTAAAATGGCGACAATTATTTATGAGCCGCTCCGATGGGTAGCGGAACATTTAGGTTACCCGAACCTCAGCGCCTTAGGACTCCGTTTTGGGTTTGTTCCCCCCGACGTATTCATTGGGAGTGTGCCAAAGGTGTTCGAGAGAAGGTCGAAGTCCATCAGGCCTTTCTAGTGACGAGGAAGTGGTCCAAGGTTTCATTTCCAGACCCCGGCTTTCCTGCGGGGAGTTTGCGTGTTCTCCCCGTGCCGACCTGCGGTTTTCTCCGGGTGTTGCGGTTGCCTCCCACATTCCAAAAACATACATCGGACGCGCTAAACTGGTCCCTCGGGGTGATTGCGAGCGCGGGTGGTTGATTGTCGATGTGTGCCCTGCGATTGGCCGGCGACCAGTTCGCTTGTGACTCACTTTTCACCGTTCCTTTGACGGCGTCCACTACAAAGGCAATCGAGATGAACAGAGCGATCACCTCCTCTGTCGACCTGCAAAAACAACAAATATCAACCAGGAAAACTTTTTCCCCTTTTTTTATTTTTATTTTTTATTTGCACACACCTTTTGAAGAGTTTCATGACCAGACTGAGATTGAAGACTCCCCCCAGGATGAGGAAGAGGCAGTTCCACAGCCCGATGCAGGCGTAGAAGGCTGGGAAGTCCAGCTGGTAGTCATCACAGATACCGCGGATTACTGCCCACAAGTACATTAGCATCCTTCGAGTTATCAGGCCCGACTATGCAGTCAGTGGTGTTTTGTGGCTCATTGGAATGTTTTATTGCAATGATGAGTACGGTTAGCACGGTAAGTACATGGTGAGGGTTGTGATCAGACTCGACCATGCAGCACTTTCCACTTGTTGGGGTTTTTAAAAAAAAATTCTGTCGTCAGCCCGGCTGCGCCGCTGCTGCCAGGATGCTTTAAATTCCAGGGAAAACCACCGCGGCCCGCAGCGTTTGCGCGCCGGCCGGCCGCCATCTTGGCGTTGCGGAACAAAAGCGGATTCTGATTTACGGCTGGCGTTACGGTGAACGTTATACGCTCGGCAGGAGCGCCGGCAATCAACATCATCATCATCATCATCATCACAACAGTCCAACATTTGAGGCAACATTGCTTTGGACGGACGGTCATGCGTCCATACGGACGTACCACTTATAAAGATGGCGAGGGGGGCGGTGGTGAGCGGGATGACCAGAGGCGAACCGGCAAACAGCGAGTAGATGACGCCACCGATGGACTGCCCGATGATGGTCTTCCTCACGTCTGCACGCGCATGCGGAGACAAAACGCGCAAGGTCAGATTTGGAATATTCAGAGTGGCAAAATATTCCCAAGAGATAATAATGTAATATGTCATAACACCAGTCATAAAATTAAAACCATTTTTCATCGCGACTGTGTGTGTGTGTGTGTGTGTGTGTGTGTGTGTGTGTGTGTGTGTGTGTGTGCGCGCGCGCGCCGGCAGTGATTGATTAGCTTCACTGGTACCTTGGCTTGGGAACCTTCTCTTCGGGAAAAGGCGTCCAGGTGGAGTCTGGGGGTTTT